TTGTGTTTGTGTCGCAAGTTCAGTGACGCAGGTAGTGACGATTCTCTCCGGCCAATCCGTGATCAGCAGAGTTTACACGTCACGTTTTGGTAACGGTACGGTTCACTTGTGGCGCTTTTCCACTGCGTGGTACGACTCCGCTCGGTACGGCTCAGTACGGTACGGCACGGCACGGTTCGGCTCGGCACGGTTTGCGTTTCCACTGCAGTTCAGTACCGCTTTAGAGTGGGCGGGATTATTCAGATGTCGTTATAGTTGCACCGCCTCTATTGCCGCGACTCCTGAAAAAACTTTTTCATTCCGCGTCGCCCCATCAAGCTCTCGCTGGATCCGCTCCTCTGCTATCAACGAGAGGAACGTCTGTACTTCCGCAACAGACAACAAAACTTGTTGGTTGTTAAAAAAAGGTGCTCTCGATCAAAACAGTTGCATTCGATCCTTTGCTGGCTGTGCTGATTTAAATCTAGTGGTTCTGTTGTGTTTGTGTCGCAAGTTCAGTGACGCAGGTAGTGAGATTCTCTCCGGCCAATCCGTGATCAGCAGAGTTTACACGTCACGTTTTGGTAACGGTACGGTTCACTTGGAACCCCAACCGAAGTGGTACTAAAAAAAGTACCAGGGACCAGGTACTGTACCCAGTGGAAAACCCCCCAAAAGTGAACCGTACTGAGCCATAACATGCAGTGGAAAAGTGCCATATGACAGAGTCCTTAAATGAGCAAATAACTCAAACTTAACTCTGCAGAAAATATCATCTAAGCAACAAGTGTATCAACAGAATTAAACATTAATAGCAGTGGGCCCACAAAATCACACACACACAGCAATACTCATATAGGCAGACCTTACCTGTTGAATAAGAATGGCACATAGTCTTAGAGTTTGTACTTGACTAACTGGGAACCAGGTCAGGAAGCAGACAGACTGGCTAAACCGACCGTCTGCTAGCCGCCTCGTGTCACAGAAATCAGTTAATTCTCAGCACATAGAAACTCTTTCACCTAGATATCACACTATAGAGACTGTGTCTGTTCCCTGAACTAGAAAATACAAAAATGTCCAAACCAATTTAAAAGTAATAATTTAATTGATTTTCAACAAATAAAAAAACAGATGTAATACGGATAAACAAACGATAAAGCTTGGCTTATTGAACATCAGGTCCCTTTCTACGAAAGCACTTTTTGTAAATGATACGATCACTGATAATAAACTAGATGTGCTCTGTTTGACAGAAACCTGGCTAAAACCTGATGATTACATTATTTTAAATGAGTCTACCCCCCAAGATTACT